TTGCCGACCTTGTATGGCGGCATGTGTTACCAACCTATCTCGTGATGCATGCATTTGTATGCTCCTTTTACGCTCGCAAAACTTTTCCTACGGCGTTGAAATATCATAGAGTTACTTTGTAAGTGAAGCCAGCGGCGACAACTTCAAATTTTGGATCCAGTTTGACATTTTAATCAGGTTTGGCGAGACAGGTACGCAAGCCAGAGAGGCAGATTTTCTTTCAAGCTGTTTCGCTAATAACGGATAGCATTTGCATGGCTGCCACGTCTCACTCAAGCCAACAAATTTCCAGCAACCGTTGGATAGGTCGTTTTGGCGTGGTGATCTTCAAATGCAAGTCGATTTGTTTTTGCAGGTGGTGAGAATAAGGATCATGTGACTTTATTTAGGGGACAGTGGAGCTGCTCATATTCCCCCTACCCAGATGTGACGCACCATAAAGTGGGGCATGTTTGAATAGCTGAGCGTTCTCTATTATGGTAACCAGCTGGTGGACATGTGTTCGGGCTGTTTGTTTTTCCTTGTCGTTCCAACATCAGTGTGAGATGTGGCCCACGCGGTCATGGCACGCTGCTTTCCGGGAGTGGTTGCCGCAAACGAATTCAAATGGTTTTCGAAGGTTCCAGGCCAGTTGGAGATCATGAATGCAAAGCCTATATGTATAACTATCGCATATGACTTTAGATCGGTGTTCCAATATTCCGCCACTTGGGTGGCAGGGATGTCGATATTTTTTCATGCTATAACGCCCCGACTTTGGGCTCACTGTGTATGGCCCCTCCCCGTGCTCAAAATCGGCTAATCAGCATCGAACCGGGCGGCTGTCAAATCACTATTTATGCGCCTCAGGGTTGACAACCGGGCTGAGTAGGTCAGACGTCCCAGTCGGGGTCAAAGGGTAGCGCGTTAGTGCCGACGAATTGCGTGCGAGTACCGTCGAAGAGTCAGAATTCTGAGAGCATGCATTTATATTTACATCCTGCACACCCTACTGGATGAATTTTGGAGTGCTGCCTTAGGTTCCGCGGCCGCAAACATTGATTTTGTTACTTCACGGGTCATTACTTGTTTGGAGCAAGGTGACCTTCCCATGTTGCGTGACGCTGCGAGTGTCGGTGTGCTCGCTACGATAATCGGCTGTTCGTTCTGCAGCTTTGTTGCTGCGATCCCTTAACGGCAGATATTTGTGCTGTCGACAAATGTGCTGCGCCATCCGTGCTCAGCCCCAAAATCCACGGTCACAATTGATCCAGCCCACCGTTGCCAGCAAAAAAGGCAGCTACTCGACCCCAGTCCAGATCGTGGGCCAGCCGGGTCAGCCCAGCGCGCGGGAGAGGCTCGCAAAGCTGTCGTGCCCTTCCGGGTATGGGGGGGGGGGGGGAGCAGACGGCTCGGCCGATTGCTGAGGGCAGCTAGTCATCAGAAGTTGTGCTCCGGCATATTGCGGGGACAAACTGCTGAATTGCAAAATGCAAAATGCAAGCAAGCATTCGTATATCCTCGATTGGATGTGGTTCAGGAAAGCGGACTACCCAGACCTTCCAGGTGAAAGGACGGTGGCGTGTGCGTGGTGTGAATTGGCGAGGTCTGACCAACATACAGCCTTTTTGAAGGCACCTAGCAGCCAACAACGGCAGCAGATATTCCTTGACCGGATCTCCCTTTTTCGAGGCCAGGGATATCTCAGGACCAGATCTGCCCCTTTCCTTCGCACACAGATGTATTCGCCGTGCGTTTTGCCATCGGACACAAGGATGGCCGGGAGCATCGTGGTCCTGCGCAACATAAGTGCCAACGCGTTTGGGAACGTGGTTGCTGGCATACGTGAAGCATGCTTCGTCATCCATGACGACATCCGAATCGATACCGACTTGAATCTGACCACGAGAGTTTAGTTTTTTGTGGTTGTCTCGTATAGCTTGGTTACCGTTAGGTCCTTGTGCATCGCCTTATTCTTGATGTCTGCTTCTTTTAGTGATTTGTCACCGTGAGCTTCGCTGATGCCAGCCCGTCTTGTAAGAACTCATTGGAAGCCTCTCACTGCTTTCTTGGCGGTTTTTCTCAGGGTAGCCTGCCTTGATTGACTCATTTTTGCAGATGCTGATCCTATTTTGTCCTGGGTAATGTCGTGTCGTTCTCGGAAGCGTTTTGTTTCGTTTTACGTGTTATCTGTGCCGCTCGCACGACATTCAATGCTCGGTTACGGGCGGTGTTCTTGAATTTGCCGCTGGTTAGGGCTGTCCGCTTTGATTGTCAGCACTTAGATATCATTCTGCACAGACACCTACGTAGGAACAAACCGGCATGCAGTTTGGACGTGTCTTTTCGGCGCGACTCTTCACCGTGACCCTCACCAGCCGTTTTGTCTTTCCGCACCATTGCTCGGAGCTCACGACATTGAGAGCGTGGTGCATGCAGGACAGACCAGCCCGACAGCAAGCTTCTGACTCACTGCCACCAGTACGGAGTTTGACATGCACAGCGTTTGAAAATGGAATTTAAACATTTGATTGTTTGTCGCAAATAAGAGCAAACACTATTCGGCTGCAAATTCCGTTCATTCAGCATGTTTGGAAATGAAAACGAAATAGCATGCCAATGAAATCCAGAGATTTGTGAGAGGTCTTCATTCCTCACTTCCGCTTCTTTCAGCCTCGACATGAGCTAGGGAGTAAATAAGTATACCGTGCTATCAGGCCCCCCCCCCCCCATCGACTGCAATGTTGATGAAATAAATTAAAGATGCATACTTGAATTGACTCCTAGCCAGATCGCTGTTTAGATGTTCTGGAGATGTCGCTATTATGGCGCTTACGGAGGAATTGACAGAAAGAAAAATCGGCTTATTATCCCAATAGACGCACGCAGCATGGCCTCAGACTACGTTTGTTTGAAAAAGTACTTTCTACAGCAGCATATTCTATGGCTGCTGCGGTAATTTACCATGGTTCTGTGCGGTGCTATATATAGATATTTTTGTCATGAGCAGCAACCCACCAGTGTCAACGTGTTTAACCATCACATCGAGTCGTACCACCTGCCGTAACCTCTGTGGAGTCATTGTGTGCTTCGCTATAACAGTCGTGCCACGCTTTACAGCATGCCTCACGAGCTTTCCATGCCACATCAGCGATGCACCAAAAATGTAATTATGTGGGTGATGCACGCTCACCAAATCGAGAACATCGGTTTAAGTTGATCGGGATTTAATTTGAAATCAAGAATATTGATTTAATTTGATCCGGACTTAATTCGAAATCAAGAATGTTGATTTTGGCGTTACCTTGGGCAAACGACGATTGCTCGGCGATTGTGTATGTGGATGAACCGCCATTTTCTGCTGGCAAATGCCCATGAATGTAAGCGTGTCCAACGACCCGTATCGTTGCCATTGTGGTCGGTGACGGGCCAGGCCTCGGGTCAGCGGTCGGCACCAAAGGCATCGATCGGAGGCCTCTTTGTCGTCAACAAGCCGCGCCGCGTTGTCCGGCGCTGGTTTGTGTTCAGGCTGTGTTACCGAGCGGTGGCAGCTCGCCAGACGCGCTGTCGGCCGCCGGGTTTTTTATTTTTCTGAACGACTGCGCGCCGGCGAGCGGGTGTCGACGGCGGCCGTTCCGACTGAGCAGTCACGGCCTGTGGCGGTATGGCTCTACTCTGTGGTGCTCGACTGGACTTGACTCGGTGGTTTCGTGAATCTGCATACCGTGACTCGGTCCCGCCCGACTCAGCGTCGGCTGCGTCCCGTTCGTCCCAGCTCGATGCAGCCCCGCCCGCTCGCCCCCCCCCCCCCTCCCTCCCCCCTCTGACGCGGCTCGCCGCGGCCGTCACGTGCCATCTCGTCGCGCGGCGGCGTGCGGCCGTCGTGGCCCGGCCCGGCCCGGCCCGGCCCGGCCACGGCTCGGCTATTTCGAGTGGCGCTGTACCGCCGCGCCGCCGGCCGCTCGTAAACAGCGACGCCCGGCCGGAGCGGGACCGCGGCCGGCGGCGACATGTGGGCACGCCCGGGCCGCCTGACCGCTGTGACGTCAGAACTGTCGGGTGGAGAGCGACCGGCCTGACCCGCTGTACGTCGGTGGAGGTGTTCGCGGTTGAGATCGATGAGCTCAACGTTAGTAGATCGCATTTGCGACCGGACAAGACGCAGGTGTCAACCAGCGTGTGTAGATCGTGTTAGCGACCGGACAAGAAGCAAATGTCGTCAGCCATTCTCTGTCCGTTCCCGTGAGAGCACGCCTTTGCAGTTTGCAGCGTGACCCGGTGGCCTTGTGTTGGTGACTGTTGGCCGTTCGCCTCTGGCGGCGCCGTCGGACGAATATGGGCCTCCGACACGGCACGCTGAGTACCGTGCGCTCGCTCAGCTCAGAGCTGGAGCACCGCCCTCTCTCGACACGTTACACCCGGCGCCATGCGGTGCTGGAGCGGTCCCTGGGGTCGTCTTCCGGTCACATATTCGTGGATTTGTATCCGTTTCATGCGGGGTCTTCGTCCAGACCTTGACCTCCTGCGGCTTAATGCATTCAACACGGTCTGCTCTGCTGAAAACTGGAAAGCCGGCCCGCCATCCCGTGTGGTTACTACTCCCGAGGGAACTGGGCAAAAATTACTGCAGGGTCCGATCCTTTGAACCCTGAATTAGATATAAGCTCGTGATCTCTGCCCTCGGCCCGTGAGCCTCGGATCTCTGTATTCTAAAGCAGTGGTGAGCCTGTGGGCTGCCTCCTCCTACCCAGCTATGAGCCTCGGTTTCTGTCCTGTCTGACACGGCCACCAGTTCCTGATTTCTGTGTCCTGATTCATGTGTGAGCCCCTAGTCTGGTCCCGTTCTCTGACTCGGCCATGACCTCGCTGACTGCGGTCGTGACCCCGTGCCGATGTCCTCTGCCCGACTGTGACCTTTTCTCCGACCCGGCCAGCGCCTGTGACCTGCGCCAGAGGCGCCGCCGTCGCCCGACGCCGCGCGCACCGCGCTCGGTTCCGCTGACGCCCGCTTCCGCCGGCAGGCGCTGCTGCAGGCGCACGACGTGGTGGCGCAGGAGGTGTATAGTGAGGAGGCGGTGCGCGTGACGCCGCCGCCCGTGCTGCCGTACCTCAACGGTGGCGAGGGCTTGCCGCCGGCCAACGGCCACGTCGATCCGGACACGGTCACGCGCGTGCGCCTGGTTCAGTTCCAGAAGAACACCGACGAGCCCATGGTAGGTACTGGAACGCGCCGGCTCCTGGCTGCGCCCGTCGCCGGCCGCGGCGGACGGGGGGGGGGGGGGGCCGGGTCGTTGTGCATGTTCTTCCTTGCGTTTTGTCGGGTGTCGGTTGTTTTGGACGTCGTCTCCGAGCGGCTGGTTTATCGTCCCGTTGTGTTTTGTTTCAGTTGCGACGTTTAAGTGCCACGCCGGCGCTCGGCCCGCTGCGACGTTAGTCGAGGCGCGCCATAAAGGCCGATGAATGGCGGTTCGCTTCCATTTTTAACCGCCTTGGCATTTAATAAGGCGGCCATCCCTCGTGGCTGCGCGGCGGGGACGGTGATCGGAGTGTAGTGTAGGCTGCAAACGGCTTCTGTGATTTGGGGCCGCGTGGCGTGCTCAGCTCGTCCCGATGCGCGTCGGTGCGACGCGCTGGCGTCAGGCAGCACTTGGAAGCCGAGCGGGCCGGACGGAGTCGGTCTACGCAGCTGGTCGGCACTGCGCGGAGAAACAGTGCTTGGCTCCTTCGCGGATTAGTTCGCGTCACGTGCGATGCGCCGTTGCTCCACGGCGTCTGTCGTGCCGTCTACCCTCGACTACGACATGCGTGCGGGGCTGTACACTGAAGCGGGGCGGGACTGAGAGATCAGCAAGTAGGCCGGATGGGATCCCTTACGGAATCGCAATGTTCCATTGCCAGTCAGTTTCGGCGAGTTCGTGGAGCTGTAAACAGAGCTGACGGTTAGATTGTGCCGCTGGGCAGGGAGTAAGGCGGAGCAGTCTACGAGTTCAGTCAAACTTCTGGCGCGGAGATAGCGCATCATGAACAACCGACAACTTGACTCACCCTTTTTGTTTTTGTTAGATTTGGTGTCATGTTTGATGTGGTGCCTTTTTGCAGGGTTTCAGATTGATATTTGAACATACCATCGTCTTCCTTTTGAGCAAGCAATGTGTACGCACATCGAACCACAATGTCGCTATGGTCGCTTGGTGTCCACTGAAAAACATTCACTAAGAAATATCCAGACAAGTTTTAACGGAGAGAGATCCTTTTGAGCGCTGCATAACGCTCGGTAGTAGCGAGCACAGTGATAACTAGCGAATGCCCTGCTTTCCGGGCATGTGTTTTTGCAGCGGTCTCCCAAAATTGTGCCCGCCCTGTGACCCACACTACGGTGTTAGTTTCGGGTTTGCCTCTTCGCCATGCAAACGCCTTCGGGAATTTCGTGTTTGCCTGTGGAGAGAGCGGGAGGCGGAATCGACATTTAAATTTGCATCCCGATTTCAAATAATTAGGTCTTATGGTCCTGTGCTAAGTGAGATGGAGCGTTTGAAGGTCCCTCTGGCTCAGTGTGGAAGTAATCGCTCGCCTTTCTTGGCTTTCGTCCATCTTCTAAGGACGAAGTGCTTGGCAGCAGGAGATATCGCCTGAGTCGCCACGGCAGGATGTGGGGGGACCCCAGGAGTGTTGCCATGGTTAGGGGGCGAGAGCTATTACCCAGTGTGGAACTGCATGTTATCCCGCGGTTCCTGCGCCAGTGGTGATCGCAGTTTTTTTTATTGGTTTGCCTCTCAACTGAGCAGTAGCGCCCGGCTGCCCCCGGATGTGCGCCTCCCGCCCCCCCCCCCCCCCCCGTCCGCGATCCTTGGCCATCACTCTCTGGTGTCACGTGTTTTTTGCTGGCGTGTCTCGCAGCGTGTCTCAAGTGCTGGCGACGCCCCCGAGGAGTGGTGTGGGGGAAGGGATACATCGGTACCCCGTATTACATATCTGTTTTCAGTGTATGAGAAAGAAACTAACGAAATGGATCTGTTGCGGTAAATTGACAACGTTTACAACGTTTGTGTACCTTTGCAAATGCCTCAGTGCCAGGAAAATTGTTTCTTGCGATGCAGCGAAGCTGCTGTGTCGAGCTGAACTTGCTCATGACGCTAGTTGTGTGTGCATTATTGACGGTCTATTTTGACAAACTGAAGCGGAAATACTTGTGAATAGTAGGTTTGTGGCTGTATGCCTTGACTTTGCGAAAATTAGGTGGTTCGATAACAGATTATATGAATGTACGTTACGTCATTGAAAAACGTAGGCTCAAGTTTCACAGCACTGGCTGAAAACATTAGTGTTTTTGTACAGGTGATAGACGTGGTGTGTTTGGCATTTTGAATTTGAATTCAGGTGTATTTTTTATGTAAAGATATTGCGCTGTTGATACGGGTCAGTCACAGCAACACTTGGTTATCTACCTTTATACTACGTTGTTGATGAAATGCTAGTGTTTACCACTCCTCTATTATAGCTTGAATTTCAGAAATTTGTAAGTATCGGCAAGACTTAAGAGTTAATAATTAAAGACAGAAAGAATTGATTTTAGATCTGTCCCTGAGCGCTTTGTGTAGAATTCTGTTATCTATTTTATGTAACGTTATTGATGAAGTGCAAGGTTTCAGCACCCGCGGATTTTAACTTTAAAAAAAAAATCAATTAACGGTGTCTTCGAAAGCTCCGAATACGTCCACGAAAATGTGGAGTGGAGCAGGTGTCCAGGAGTCGCAGCCCCGACGCTCTGGGAACATTTATGGCGGTGTCTTTGGCTAGTCATTTTTAGGTAATGAATACTGCAACTTTAACAACCATGCATGTCTGTGCTCACGCAGGTCTGTGAAGTATGTTACGGCGACATCTATGTCATTTCGATAAGACAGTAGCACTAGCTTGATTCCTCGGAAAAAACAGGAGAATGGAGATAAAGTTGGGTTGATATTTCGGCAACATGCCTTTATCGCCATAGTGCCATAGTGCCAACATGCCAACATGCCATAGCATAAGCTATTGTTTTACACTTCTGCTATTCCTTCACACTTTTCACTAAGACTTTCACTTGGATCACAGGATGTGGGGTTCATCTGTTGTGGTTTGTGCGGGGCCAAGTACTTGACAGTTGATAGCGCACCCTAGCGCAGAATTTTGAGACTAAGGACGCGGGTTGGCGGCGAACCAGAGGCCGACACACAAGTCCTGAATAAATGTACCGTTTTTATGGCATTTTGGATGTCACTTTGACACAGATCGTGGTAACGTCAACTGGACAGCACCTTTTTATTTTGTCAACGGGCAAACCAGAAATCCCAGCCAGCTAAGCGAACCTCTTCCCAGATGGCTCCAGAACCCAGTGTCGTGTTCAGGGATGACCGTTGAGATGTGATTGCAAGGGAATGAAATTGATTCGTCATGACTTCTTGCAGACAGCATACTGAAATGTTGACATGCATCCGTACAAACCTATTTCTGGCATTTCCAAACCTGTGAACACTCACTCCAATCTCATGTATACATTTATCGTTGTAATTTTGTTGTGTTGGTTTTTTCCCGATTTGGCAGGCGGACTGACATGCGATAATGGCTACGTTTATGGTGTGATAGATAGTGGTATAAATTAGATGTCATTGGATTCTCAATCATAGATGTATTGTTGCGATTCATTGCAATAGGCGTCAGTGGAAAATGATATAGTGATTATTGTGCGTCGTTAACGTTTTTTATAGGGCTTCTCATTGGTGTGAATTTTTTTTATATTTTATTTCCTTGTAAGTGTTTTTCCCTGCATTGCATTTGATCTTGTGTATGGGTCAGTCTCCTATGGTTTATAATTGCTGTACGTCGTGATGAGGACCATTACTTTGTGGATGTTGTTCGGGTGAATTATATAAGACCTTAAGAATTGGTAGTTCAGAGCTGATGTTTTGATTTGGTGGGGTTATAAGTGGTTGGAAATTTAATGGGGCTGTGTGTGCGAGCGATGAATGTTGGTCAGAAGCCAAAGCCGACAGGTATGAAAACTCCTACTGCATCACGGCGGTACATTTGCCGTGGAACACACATTGTAGGGTGGCGAGCGTTTAACAGGAAATTAATCTCCGGCGCGAAATGTATAATACATGTTTTTGATGAAATTTGGTTTTGTCAGGTTGCGCTGTGTTTTTGCGTAAAATGTGCCGGCCGACTTGTTCTAGGTCATGTGTGCGAATCCCTGGTTCGTCAGTGGTTGTGAGTCCATGATACAATAGTTTTGTTAATTGATGGTGATACCATGATGGTTCTGTGTGGCGCTCACCTGCTCTGTAATGCGTTGTGGGACGATGCTATTGGTACCCGTAGCACTTCCGGTGGGCCGTGGTTTCCGCTCCGTGGCACGTTCATTGAGCAACCATTGATAGCGTGTGACGAAGGCTCTGGCATGGAACTGTGGAAGGGTTTTTTTGTGAAGCTTCCACTCATTCCTCTGTGATAAGGGCAGAATAGGAAGTTCTAGCATTGCGCGACTTGTGTGTGTTATGTAAGGAAGCGGCACCACGCCTGCGTTGTATTGCGTTCACACGGATCACTGGCTACGTTGGCCCGGGTATTCTAGCGTCCAACTCTTCTCAGGAGGCTGTCTGGCCACTAGAAACGTTGGATTAATCTGGAAAGTCGCTGTAACAAATTCGTTGCCTGGGAGTTTCTTAATTAAGAAATTGCCCTCCGGGGGTTGCGTTGTTGTTGCATCATTTGGAGGGCTAATGGCAAGACGTTGCCTGCTACTCCTTTGTCTTGCGTGTAAGTGAAGCTTTGTGTTCCAGCGAGGGCTCATCAGCGCCCAGTCGCACAATGTTGGAACGTTTTGCATGGCTGTCACCAATGTTTGTTATAGTCTTTTATCGGCCTCATTGGCATGCTATCCCGTGTCTTGAAAACCTTTTGACTGAGAATCCCTTGAATGGTGGAAGAAACGTGATCCTTCACGCTCCGTGTATACAACAAACATCGGATTCTGAAGTTTCCCGAGTGGTCTCCTTTTATGTACCACAGATTGTCGCTTGGTTAAGAGCGTGCGAGGCCCACTAGCTCGATTTTGAATTAAGTACGTCTGGGTGCTTGTTCCATGCTCCCAAGGAATTCAGCTGTGCTGGTATAGTGCAAACGTCAAGAAAACAGAGTAGTGTCCTATCGGTATCACGTGTTAAAAATTATATGTATTATGGCACAGGTGTTAAGCGTGCAATAGTATGCGTGGTCATAGTAACAGCGATCAACTTTAGGTGTACATTATCTCGGTTCCCTCTTACTTAACTGCGGATCATGGTAGCAGCGATCAACTATAGGTGTACATAATCTCGGTTCCCTCTTACTTAGCCGCGGATCATGGTAGCAGCAATCAACTATAGGTGTACACAATCTCGGTTTCCGCTTACTTCAGTGCTGATCATGGTAGCAGCGATCAACTATAGGTGTACACAATCTCGGTACCCGCTTATTTCACTGCGGATCATGGTAGCAGAGATCGACTATAGGTGTACACAATCTCGGTTCCCGCTTACTTCACTGCGGATCATGGTAGTAGCGATTAACTATAGGTGCACACAATCTCGGTTCCCACTTACTTCACTGCGTGATCATGGTAGCAGCGATCAACTATAGGTGCACACAATCTCGGTTCCCGCTTATTTCACTGCTGATCATGGTAGCAGAGATCAACTATAGGTGTACACAATCGGCTCCCGCTTACTTCACTGCGGATAGACGCCATCCCGTTGGCGTCGTACGGCGCCGCCTCCTGCCACGTAAAATTCGCATATCAATAATGCACAGCGCGTAACTGTTTTTTTTCTTCTAAGCGTACACTGCGTCAACTGACAATTCCTTTCCGGTTAGGGCGTTGTATTCATCGTTTCTTCTATGTTGCATTCATCGTTCTCGAACTTTGTGGGGTGATTTTACCAGGTTGGCTTTTGCATAACCGGTTTCTGTTACATATATGGAATGCGTCTCCTGTTAAACGGCAAAACATGCACTTCCTTCGTGACGCCGGGGAGCATGCATGCTTTTTGGATACATATATATATATATATATATATATATATATATATATATATATATCCGGGGTGCGCCTTAAAGATCTCGTAGAGCACAAGACAAGACAAGACAAGACTCAGTAATCAATACTCATCCCCCCAAACAGGGCATGTGACCTGATTGATAGTGGATAGTCAAAAGGGAGCAGTATCGGGGCAGCCGGATATGAATCGGTGCTGCCCGGCCGAGCGGCACGCGGACCGTACGCCGGCCGCGTGCCCTGGCGTACCGTGGGGGCCGCACGCGCCAGTCGCCGGGGCCAGCGCTCCGTACGCGCGCTGAGATGCTTGCCAGTGGTGTGGCGTTGTGTCCAGCGCCAGCCGTTGCAGTTCTGTTTGTGGTAACCAGTTGTGGCGGGGCACGCCCCGTGTTCACAAAGTTCTCAGCGCGCCGCTGCGTGCTGTGTCGGACATCGGAGGACCAGTTATGGCGGGATGTGTCCCGTGTTCACCAAGTTATTAGCTGCTGGCCGCGTGCTGTGTCGGACATTGCAGACACTGCCGTCTCGCGGATGTTGCGCGGCGGCTGAGATCGACGGCCTGGCGTCTTTTTTGTGTAGGCAGCGAAGCGCTGTCTGGGACGCGTCTCGACACGGGAAACCCGGTGGAGGCTTAGGCCCTTGGCGTTTCGCGGAGCCGGAAGCTGTGAGACAGCTCACCAGAAGGCATCATGGTCGCCATTGTATGCCAGTGTCCGAACCGACCCGAACACAAGCTTCTTTCAAGTCGTGCTGTTGCTGTCATCATTGCGCTGCGAGCTCATTAAAGTCTGTTCACGAAACGCGTTAAAATGATTCTGCCGCCGAAATGATGACATTTGATGTCTTTAAGATCGGTCGTGACAAAAAATAATATCTGTAAGATAAATGGTGTTCGATATCAGTGTATGTATCATTGGTGCCCGATACCATGGTATGCATAATTGTTTTTCGTATGGACATTGTTTTGGTGGCCTTTCGAGGGTTTTGAACACTATGGGATCCGTTCAGTTCACGACAGAGAGTTTTTTATGTGTCCCAAAAGTGGTAATATCCCTTGGAAAGGTCATTAAAACTCGTCTGGAATACAGAAGTGCGTTAAGAAGCTATGAAAAGCATGCCTCCATTCAATTCCTAGTCTCTGCCGCCAGTGTACGTGTCTGCGTGTACGTTTAAACACATTGCTTCAGGGTACAACTATCGAAAAACCATGGTCACCCGAGGCAAAAACGTACAGTACCTCAGCTTTCGAAATCGCTAGGTGTAGCTACGCCGGCGAGTGCTGCGCTGGCCTGGGCAAGATGCCTGGATGACAGCTCAGTTACCGCGGCATCTGAGAATCACTGGGGAATCTGCCTCGGCATCGCCCGGCCCGGTCCCTTGTCGTTATGTGTACGCCGGGGCCGTGCACTTGAGCGTGGTGAAACGTTACGCTGTGCGCCCCATGCAGGGTCTGACGTGCATCGTGTGCAGGCTACGGCGTGTGTCTCGCCTACATTCAGATGTGTACTCTGTGGAGGCATCGGTGTCTGTCTCACGGTCTTTGCCCGTGTTGTGTCGCGGTCCCGGCTGGTGTCCTGGCGAGGTTTTGTGTGAATCTCTTCCGAGATCCCGATGTGCATCGTCTTGAGCTCCTGAGTTGTATTCTGTCCGGCTTTCTGTGTGTATCCCTTGAGGTTCTGGTATGTCAACCTGAGGTACCGGACTGTGCCCAGCCTGTATTCCAGCGGGTACCCTGCTTCTACCCAGTGCGTCCCTTATCGAGGCATTTCTGTGCGTCATGGCGAGAGGCCCGGTTCGTCGCAGTGCGTGTCCTGCCAAGCTCCGTTGGTCCAATGGGTTTCTGAGGCCTTTGGGCCTCAGGGCCCCAGCGTATATCCGTCACGGCCCTGGGTGGTCTTTGTGTGTTTTCTGTCGAGAGACCCGGCTGGTGCCAGCGTGTGGGCGGTGGCGACCGCGGCCGGCGCGGGCGCGCTGCCGCCGCCGCCGCCTGGAGCGGCCGGCCGGCGGGCGGGCGGGGCCGGTCGGCCGTCTGCAGGCGCTCCGTTGCCGCCAGGGGATCACGCTGAAGATGAGCGACGACGGCCGCTGTCTGGTGGCGCGGATCATGCACGGCGGCATGATCCACCGCCAGGCCACGCTGCACGTCGGAGACGAGATCCGTGAGATCAACGGTGTGCCCGTGGCCAACCAGAACGTCGACGCGCTCCAGAAGATCCTGGTAAGAGACGCGGCTGGCCGGCCGGCGGGCGGCCCCCGCCGCACGGCTGCTGGCGGCTGCCGCGGCGCTGCCTGTTGGCTTGGTTCAGGTGCCGGCGGTCACGGGCCTCGCGCTGTCCCGCTGCTGCTCCGCTGCGGTCGCGTTGTCCCGCTGTGGTGGTGTTCGGAGAAAGGTTGGTGATGCGGGGTCCTGGCTCTGTCCGCGGCTCGCTTGCTGCGCTGTGTCGTGGGGATGGGAGCGCCGTGTGTCTGCAGATGTGAGCGATTCGGTGGAAGCTGATGCCGATGCCTCCAGGTGGCGCAGACGTCGGTCGGCGCTGATGGGACGCACGGACCAAGAAGACCACCAATCGTCCCCTATTGTCGGCATTTGTGACGCAATACATTCGTGCGGCCGTACGTTTATGCAACAGGGAAGGGTATTGCCCGAGCGCGTTTGCTCGCAAAGTGCTTATATTCTGCGCACTGCCGAGCAATCTTGGGCATGGACTGGCAGCCCACTGAAAGCGAAGATGGCCACTCAAGTCGTATCTCAGAGTGATGAACTTGCCAAAAGCATATTGCGCTGAAGCGCCAAGGTCGCTTCGCTTAGAATGTCTGTTGATTGTGCTGGAAAAGTCCTGCGTTGTCATGCGTTTGTCCACCCACCTTTTACAGCACTGGCGCCATTCCCTCACGAAACTGCTGCCGAACACGTTGCGCTTGTTGTGTTTGTCAAATTGCTGAGACATGCGAAATGAGACGTGGTGCACCGTATCGCCATTATGACATCTTCACTGCATCAGCGGCCATCAGTGCATGAGGCGGTGTCTGGTCCGCCCGATGTCCTGCTTCTTTTGGAGCGCGGTGCTCTTTAGCGCAAATCAAAAACCCTGTTTACCATTCAGCTGTTGTGCGTGACCTAAGTACCGACGCACTGTGTGTACCAGCACAGATTAAACGCGTGCGGTGCGGTCCAGTGTACAAACAGGACCAAAGAATAATGAACAAGCACCCTGACTACCCGCAGCCCGAGGATCAAGTGGTGTTTTGCGGCGGTGCGCATGTTAATCGCTTGATTCGTTGTTGTGTTTGTTAGTCATTGTATTTCATGGCGGATCTTCCCTTAAACATGCATCTGTATAATGTGCGCCGGCCTTAAACGCTTCGGCATCAGCTCTTCATGATGGCATTGGGTTATCGCCGCCGGGTTTTGCCGACTTTCCTGTCTTCGCCGATCGGTGGCGGAACCTTTTGTGGTTTGTGGACGTGCAACACACTGCATGCTCTGAAATGTTGACTTTTTTGGTTGCATTGCGTGGGTGGCTGTGATGTGTTGCCATCATGTTTGTCAGGGGTCGCCATTGTCAGCAGAAAAGAAGAAGGCACCGATTTCCTTTAGCATCGAGCTGTCGGAGAGGCCTCGCTCCGCAGTCCCCGATGTTTGTTCCGATTGTGTTAGAGCCAGTCGGGCAGCTTAATAGAAACTTGACGCCTTGAAAACGCAGAACCCTGTAAAACGTGCCCGACATCCCTGACATTGAATGGCGCTAGATGATCGAAAACGTAAATATTGGGATGAACAACTCGTTGACGGCGAGCAGAAAATAGTTACAGTGGGTCACAAGTGCGCTCGCACCAATTTGCGCATCCGCATTAGTCTCTTGAATGCTTGCAGCCAACGAGGCACAAGGTTTAATTGCGGGATGTTTTGGTTACTCCTCTTCGTGCCGTAAGAGGCCCATTCTAGAATTCGCACCCAAGCTCTTGCAGCGACGTGGTATCTCGTTTCAGCCCAAGCATGCCAAATATGCTGATATAGACGCACGACTCCGAGGAACCCGCGTGTTCCCCGTAGGCGTGGAGAGCAGCTACTCTCCGTGGCGTGGGGAGCAGCCTTGCATCTGGAGATAGACGGGCCGCGTTTTGAAGCAGTGTAGATATGAATCAAAATTGTATCCAGCCATTACCAGGGAATTACTGATTCCAATGTCAGTTGCACTCTGTTACGTTGGGGAAATAGAAAGTGAGTTTTTAAGTAACAACAGAGCAGCCCCCGTAGACTGTACGGCTCCGAGAACCGCTATCATCTCGGTTACTTAGGTAAACGGTACCATTTCAGCATCACGACCACCGTCGCCCTCACTTCCGTAACGATCTCGGTGTGTTTGGTGCTGTGCGCGCGCCGCGCCGCGCCGGCCGCCGCCTCACTGCCGTCTCCGTTGTTGCAGCGCGATTCTCGGGGCTCCGTCACGTTCAAGATCGTGCCATCGTACCGGTCGGCGCCCACGCCCTGCGAGGTAATAGACCCCTATCAACTGTACCCCTGCCTGCGCGCGGCGCGCTGCGCACCGGCGCGCGACTAGCCCCGCCCTGCCCCGCCTGGGCGCCCCTTGCCCCGCCCCGCCCCGCCTGGGCGCCCCTCGCCGAGCATGCGGGCTTGTCAGGGGCCGGGCCGCTGCTTCGGGCTTTCGACAGCAAGCCTCTCCTGGCAGCACGCTGGTGGCTTTGTGGAGAAGGTGCCATTTATCCGATTTGATTTCGCTTGTCGATAGTGTGGCAGGTTCATGCATAGGGAATGGTTCGGGAAGTTGTGTGATGCCGTTTCTTTTGTCAGCGATGTCCCTGATTATTTCCGTTCTCGGCTAGCGCAGCTGATTTTGATAGCTTGTTTATGCATCGGTCTTGTGGGTCCGCATGCTTGTCGTTGGTATCTGCCGATTTATCAGATTTATTTCGTTTTATGTGAATGCGTACGCCTGTACGGGTCGTCAGCACGGAGGTTTGATCAGCCTGCTGTTCAGAGTTGCACGGTAATATGTATATCATATCTAGCAACATGTCGCCTAGCGATGACTTGGACTAGCACACTGGCTTTGTAACCAGCGACTAGTTTCCGTTGGCTTCGGCGGAGTGTTACAAATACAGTCCTTGGATATCGGAAGTAACACCATCTCTGGCTTGCGTGTTGAATGGTGCCCACGGGACTCGAAACGATTGAGCTCGGTTGCATTGTGACTGCGCGAATGAAGGGAGCTTAGCTTCGGAGAGGATTCCACCAAGATACCGGCATAGCAACAAACACGGAGTGCGCAAAATCGTGTGTTTTGCCGTCTATCACAGGGCGGAGATCTGTCGAGAGCGAGACGTGAAAATACTGCTGTATGGTGACGGTGAGCGCTGACCGACAGCAGTGCGAATTAATGAAACAGAGGTACGCGGCGGATAGAAGCACACAAAGGCACTTTCCCGGGAGGGGTTTCCAAATATTCGGTAATGTCGAGACGATTCACTCCGCAGCCCTCGTAAGAATAAATTTGTGATTTGTTTAGGTCTCGTAAGGTTTGTAGTAAAACTCTAGCCAGAGACTGCTATGTTCGTATTATATGGTTTGAACGATGCAATTTCCACTTAGCGGCTAAATTTGGTCGAGGGAAGCAACCATCCTACAATTATAAAGGCATCACTTAAAGTCCCGATATCACCACCATTGCTGTGCCGCCGTCTCCTTGTGATGACTGACGAGGAACGCCCTTTGCAACAGGCTCACGTGCGCTGCTGCTTATTGAATGTTACGGAGTGCGAGATACATTTCCCGCCACCACACGGTCCCCGCCATCGCACACAGACATATTTGCCTTTTACGTCGGGGCTTGACGGCATACGTACCCATCTACATAGATTGGCGACGCTCGGTTCAGGCTGCCTCCCGGTTTTTCCGTAGTTGCTGTCAAAAATTCAGATTTTCAATTGAACGACGGTTTTGGTGTAGCTATTTCATCGAGATTCCTTGTCATCGATGTGCAAAGTGATATTTTCACAAGATCTGTGCTTGGTGTGTGAGGGCTCAACGCATCAAAGTTTCACCTCGATGGACTACGGAGGATTGGTGGGACCTTTTGAGGGTCTGCTCTGGGATTGGCTATCTGCCCGCACGCTCACGGTGGCGGTCGATTTTTTATTGAGGTGGTGCTTTCAGTGACTTTGGCCGGCCTTTTCATGCTTGAAATGTGATCTTGTTTTGCGACCTCGCTGTTTTAGAAAGTATAGCGCCGGCAGCAGCTCTCAACGAGTGGCTCCATTTGGCACAAAAACCTAATGGCTCGAGCTCGAAAACCTCAGCTCTATTTGGCTCAAAAACCAATTGGGTTGACATTCCACGTAATGCGCGGCATTGCGTCTACACGGAAGCGAATTTTACCGCCGGGAAGCCGCGTTAAGACATTGAAGCTTAAAATCGCTGTAATAATTTGGGTCGCAGGCTGGATCAGGGTCAGAAGTTGGGGGCATATTTCAAGCTTTTAAAACCCTTGGAGGCCTTTAAATCCCTGCTTTAGCAGCGCCAGGCCGTACTGGTGTCGGAAATGAAAGGGTATAAATTGTTGCTCTGTGGTATACAGTTGACCTGTAGGGCTTCCGTTCGTACTGGATTTATGTTCATGTGATGCAGTGCGGGTTTGTTGTCAATGCAATAATTAGCTTCATACATGGCATTATCTTGTCCATATATGCCGATGTGTTTATGAACGTGAGCACACATGCACACCTTGTTCCATTGGCGTTCCCAATGTCGTGTTTTGTTCCACTAGCCTTCGGATTCGAAGCTGAATTTCCGATGTGGGTTGGAGCGAACTGATCCCACGGGTCTGGCGACTTGGCCGGCATGAGCAGCATCCACGGGACAAGCTGCGCTTGGCGAAGTTCACGTCTGAACGCCACTCGAGCAGACGTTCTTGCGGCTACACGAAAACACGATCTGTGTATTTATGCTGCGTATGATCCAGATGCACTTTCCGGTGCATGCGCGCTGTGCAATGATGACTGGTACTACGCATTCATTTCAGTTTTGTCATAGCTGCCAAATATGGCGCTCACTTTGTAAAGGACGTATTGATGCGGCTTGTACGTTAAGTTACCGATAATGACACCAGTGCAAGTCACGTATCGATGTCGGCCAGTTGTCAGCGTTCAATACGAAAACGCTGAGGATGTAAAACGATGCTTTCCTCGTGGACACAATGAAAGGCAGCGAGAAACAGCATTATCGAGCACGCGACTGAAATGTTCCGCTGTCAACTGACGCGTGAAGTGTCACAAGCAGAGTGCGGCCTCTGGGCAAACTGAGCTGGATGCTGTCGGTAGCTGTTGTGCGGCGAGCGGCGAACAGCTGCGAAGGGTTGTGCCGCTGGCAGGCTCCCGTGCTTGACGTCATGAATTGATTATGGCGGGCTGAATCATGGGATACTCTCCAAGTTCGGAGCCGGGTGAAATTGGAATAATGTTTTCTGCATGAAGGAGCCGAGGGAACTCAATGCCAGGCACTGGGAGAGCTGGGCGAGCCGCTCTGGCGGAGAATGGAGGAAGGATATCTCCGCTGTTGTCAAACTCTCGTCAAAATCACAGTCACGTCGCTGATGCCGAGCCGGGTGTTTGAATTGTACAAATTTTCGTCACGATTGTCTTCCATTGGTCGATTGGGTTCCATTGACTTTAGATTTTTCGTTATAATAGAACGTGAGCTTCCAAGGATGACCCCTGTCTGTTCGAAATGGTCGATTTTCCTGACCCAAAAGTCCATTGCGCTGGTTGATCTCATCAACACGAGTTCTCCTTCCGCTTCTTCCATGTACCTCGCGTGTAGTAAATATGCGAACACACGGTGCTTGAGTGCACGCCAGGCGTGAAACACGCCGCAAATTGAGGAATCGGACTGTTGGTGCGTGCATACGCTATATGACACAGGCTTTCTTCTGTCTGCAGATGTTTAGGAAAAATCCGGCCCCGGTGATAGTAAGTAATGTGACTGTTGTGCTGCATGTGTGTGGATGGTGAAACTTTTCCATGGTAACATTGTTACACTGGCGGGCCTGACCACACCGCGCTCAGGGCATATCATCGGTCGGGTACCATACCATCGGTGTACCATCGGTCGAGATCAGCCCAGGAGGTCGGCCAGGACAAAGACATTCCCGCGTGGCATGATCACGAATGTCAACATGAATGGCAGCAGCCTGTGCTGCCGGCCCCGTCTCCGCCCACGCTGGCACCGGGTCAGCAGGCTCCGGCGCACCCCCGCCAGCTGGCTGCGGCTGCCGGCCGTGACCCCGACCGAGCGCTGGGGGGGGGGGGGGGGCAGTCACGAGCGGCGGTTCCGACTCCGGGCGGTGTGGCGGTCCGGATGCTCGCGGGCGCCGTGTGGCGTGTTTGTCGTGTTGTCAGCTGTCCTGCGTAGACTAGTGCATACGCCTGGGTGGTTCGCATGGCGTGTTGCGTAGCTGTGTGTCGTTTGGTGACATGGGGTGGGCTCGGGCAGTAGGACGTCGAGCTGATCTTATTCTGGAGTTTTGGGACCGCAGGTGCCAGTACCCCGTGGGTGTTTTGCCGCGGTCCCTAAGCGTTTGCGGTCACCCGTAGTGTGTTTCGGACCATTTTATACAAGCTTGTCACCCCTGCTAGATGGCACGCGACTCCGATTTTTGGTCACGCGCTGATGGACACGGCTGTTCGTGCGGAGTGTCTCCACCTGTACCGGTCACCGGTCTGGTGTAACAGTAACATCAGGTCTCTGGGGTGCGTCCGATTTCTGGAATGCGAGTGCAACTCCTGATTGGCACCAGGATGGCACACTTCTGGTCACCAGCCAGGCTAAGTGGTAACTCCTGGCTGTTGCCATTGTGGCACACTTCTGATCACCAACAGGTTCAGTGGTTGACTCCCGATCGTTTGAGTCATATTTCTCCTGATCACTTACAGGTTCAGTGGTTAACTCCTGGTCGTTGCCATTATGGTGCACCTCACCTCACGTAGCTTCGACTGTGGTGCATTGGGAGCTCTCGGGCTCTCCAGCACTGCGCGCCCATGCTCCTAGGTCGGCGGTTTTAGGTGATCAGGTTGGAGTCGAAATCAGAAGCGTGAGCCCGAGTTGACATTGTCTGCTTAGAGCTGCTGCACGTTGGCCTGCCTTATGTCCACAAAACCTATTGTGGAATGTGAGCAAACGTGTCGAAAAGATTGTCGCTCCGTGGCAGACAGTTCAAGATGATGATGTTCCGTTTTCTTGTTAAGCACACTGTGCCACATGTTTTGTTGTTATTGTGTGGTTTTGTCGTGGTTGATGCGGGTGAAACTAGCACTGTTCTTGGGTTGGTACGGCAATCGAGAGGAAAGCGACCTCAGCGCCAGGTAGGGAAAGGGGCAGGGATTTGAAAGGTGTGCGCTGTTCTGGCCTTAGTGACACGAGGAGGGCATACGGCGGTAACTTAAGAGGTCGGTTTCATTATCTCGACCGCTGCCAGACTTGGCGTGAGAAAGGTACGGAAGAAAAGTATGCTGTGATTCGCATTGCCTTGTGTTCTGACGGTTGGTGTCACACTACCTGATCTGACAGAGCTGCGCCTGCAGACGATAGAGTGGTGAGGTGATAATGGGTCACAACGTCGCCGCCCGCGTGCTATGGTATCACCTGCGGACTTGAATCTCCGAAAGTTAAGGAGCCGCTGGTCAGATGCTAGATGCATGCTGCAGGATGCGGAGCGGCGTGGGTCGGTAAGCGGCGTGCGAGCGGTGCAGCCGGATCCCCGGGACCCTCGGGACTCCTGGCCCCAGGAAACCTGGTCCTATGCCCAGTGAGATCACGGTCGCTCCGCCTCCTGTCGCTCGGAATGGGATTCCCGGACTGTCTGCTGGTCTGTCGGCCGTCTGTATTTATATATATATATATATATATATATATATATATATATGCATATATATATATATATATATATATATATATATGCGAAAGGTGTGTAAATGACAGCATATTTGTTCTGCAATATCTTCTTCAAACTATTGATCTTGCGAGCGCATTTTCTCTTGTATCGGCATCTGCGCCTCCACCCTCCCTTTGAGAGTCTGTCTCTCCATCGCCAATCCCTGTATTGTATGCCCATTACCACGATCTGCCCCTTCTGTCTTCCTATTCTCGCTTCTCTATCACTCTGCCCTGTCTTGTTTGTCTCTCCAGTGCCCGCTCGCCCGTTCGCCTGTGTCCCTAGTTGCACGACGTTCTGTCGAGTGTGGCCCGGCTTTTGTTCCCGTCTTCTTGTCATTTCCGCCGTCTATAATACGCACACATGCTCTCCCTCTCAGCGTGGCATGGTTTATCGTAACCGGCATGTCGTATGAGAGGATGATTCATTATCGCCCGGTGTCGCAACAAAAGAAGGTCGTTAACGAATGGTAAGACGAGGAACTCATACATTCGTGGTTAATCTGCTTGTTCCGTGTGGTATCCTTTTACATGTCTCGTTTCATTGGTTTTCAAAAATGTTTGCAGTGTTGTCACCCTAAATTGGAAGAGATTAGCAAAAGCACCATCGCCGTCAGTCACTGCGCCGGCTGGCCGCGCTGCGGAGTCTGCCGGCTCTGGCGCGTGCTGCTGGTGACCTCTCGTGGTCGATCTCGGTACTAAGCGCCCTGCGGAGGCAGCTGACTGTGAATGAGGCTCAGACTGAGCCAGCGTGGCGCCGCTGTCATACAGCACCTGTGTGGAACCTCCCCAAAACCCCGCCTCGGAACCCAGCCCGGCTGAGCCAGCGCGGCGCCGATGCCATACGGCACCTGTGTGGAACCTCCCCAAAACCCCGCCTCGGAACCCCGCCCGGGACGCTCGTGCGAATATTAAACAGGGCGTAGAGACTAGGGAGGAGGGATGTCTTTTCCATGACAGACGACGGCGCCTGAAGTTATGCAATGATTATTCCAATAGATACGTTGGAGACGTCCACAACCAGCACCTACGCTTCGCGTCGTTAGAAATGGGGTTCTTGATAAGTCGTTGCGACCTGCTACAAGGAACAGAGAAGGGTCTGTTATTTTGTTTTTGGTGAAAACGGAGCAACATTGACCAATTGGTTACAGTACACGTGTCATGTGCCGTCAGTGTGTGCGATGTAAAGGTTCAGCCAAAGGTGGGGAGGGGACTTTAAAACTCACATTGTTTTCTTGTAGCGCCGTAGATGACTCCTGACAGGAGGAAATCAGCCCGGGCTCTCTGAGTGACGCATTCCCTGTCCTTTAAAAAATTATGGCACGCGAATCGTTCCCAAATAAGTATGGACATGTCGTAAACGGATAAAACGCTGCGTCATTGCACGGAGGTGATACCATATGACGGTGGTGAACCGGGAGCTGAGCAGCGGTGCGTCCTGCTGTTCAGCTACCGACTGCTCGGATGCTCACGAACACGTCAGCTGTCCGCGGCGAAATGTCATCACGCACCTGAAGTCAGTATTCCTGGATCCGTGCGCGTAAAATGACTGGCCGTTGCCAGCCGGCCGGTGGTCGCTGGGAGAGATCTGGGGCCGGGGCAGTCACCGCCGGGCGTGGCAGGATGTGGCGGCGGGTTGCCGTGGTGCGTGGCGGCTGTGACAAGTATCGATTTCGGCCCGTGGGATCCGTGTGGTGTGGCTGTTGGCGCCGATCTAAGCAGACAGCGGGTGAGGGCATGGATAAGTCTGGGCCGCGTATAGCGCAAAAGTAGTTCCTGGTCGCTTGCGGAATGTATTCAGGCTAGAGGCTTAGTCCGACTGCAATGGCATTGGGCTTATTTGGAGACGAGTTATAGTTTACTTTTTACGGGAACAAACGGAGGCTTCTGTAACAAAAGGAGATTTTCATCCCGAATAAATCCCGAGCTATTGAAATATTACCACCGCTGCCCAATGTCTGGCCGTGACCAATCAGCCCCCCCCCCCCCTCCCCCTCCCAAAAACAGCGCACGGCCCGCTAACGCCTCCTCGCCTCATGCTAAAACGAAACTTGCGTAATGTTACGGCGCAAAGGAGCAATGTATGGCAAAGAGGCATGTTTTTTTTTCTTAATTTGTTGTCTATGTCAAGTGAATCTGGGAACATATCGCGCCGTTCCGCGCGTTTAAGCCGACGGCACTTCGGTAAGCGCAATCCTTTAAGCCGCAGCAGGGATGCAGGTAGCCGCAATTTGGCCCCTGTTGTGGCTCAAATGGCGCGCGTTTTTCGCGTCCCCGTTTTTTTTAGGGGAGGCGTGGGGGTTCTTTTGGTGCCGCTGGACAACGCCTCCAGCATCGTTTCTCAACACTGCGGAAGTGACGCTTCACCAGGCGACTAGAATAGCAGGCACCGGTTGGCAACTTGTAACAACGCTGTAATGGCGCGCTACAAATTCCACTCCCAGGCTGTTTGCTTTTCATCGAAGATATTACGTGTGCGTGGAAGCGTGACAGAGCACACGGACCACACGGTGGCGTCGGCTGAACGGGTAATGAAACAAAATGTAGTGCCGACCTCCGTAGACGCTATTTCGCCAAGCAAGTTATGTGGTATAAGCAAGAGGCCTTGAGCTCCAGGTTGTCTGCACTATGAAGAGAAATGGCGACAGTTGTCCGGCAAAATGTCAGGGGTACCATTTAAACGATGATACCAAGAAACTCGGTAGCTCATGATAATCGCCGTTGGTTCAAACAGTCAGCGCAGGAGCCAGAGGGCTGCGTGGGCCGGCGGTTATCGCATCCCGCTACCCCGTAAAATAAGCAAATTTTGGTACATTGGAATCAGACATAATGACGATCAAGACATCTGCCCAGGGCAATTAATTGTTGTTTTTTTCGCTTCTTTTCAACATACTTGAGCAACATACACGTCCTCTCTGCTACGTTTAGCAATTGCCTTATTGCGCTATATTTTCCTTTTTTTCTTTTCAACATACTTGAGCAACATACAAGCCCTGTGATACGTTTGGCAATTGTCTTATTTGGTTGAACCTTACGTGCGCGTTTCAATCGTAGGAAATATTTTAAGGCTCGATTGGAAATAAAGATGATGTGGTCATTTCAGGGTGCATTTTTGCATTGCCAATCCTGGATTGAAATTCGTGCGCGTGCATCTGCAACAGCTACCTCGCGTTCTGACGGCTAGCGGGCCGGCCGGCCGCGATGCTCGCCCTTGGGTTGGGCTGGTGCTCAGCTGGCCGGCTGGCCGCGTACCTGGGAACCAACCTGGTCTCATAATTGGTCTGTCACGTTCACGTCCCATCACCGGTGATGGGTGTGGGGGTTTGGGGTTTAAGGGCGCGTCGGCGTCGAGGCCGGTTTGTGCCCACCACGCCCCAACGCCCGGTACGCAGGTGTGGCCCGGTCCGCGCCGGTGCTCGTGGTAAGTGTATGTTTAATCATATCGTTTCCGTTCTCACCTGTGTGAACCAAAATATAGCTTTTCAACAACTGCTTTGAAGGGAACTTCCTTTCTTGAAATAGGCTTCGGAACTGTATATGTAACCGAATTACTCGTCAGAATTTGAATCAGATCACAGTTCAAACGTATCTGCCAACGAAACTTTGCATTTCTGAGAGAAAGGGGCATATATATCACGCCGTCAGCAGGTTAGGAAGCTTGACGGTAAAGTTTGGCCGGTGCTGCCCGGCACCGCCGATGGTCACGACACGAACATCCGCCTGGGGTGCGTCAAGCTTCGTCTCGTTCACTCTGAATGGACAAACCCGAAGGGCAAATCGATTCGGTCAATCCTACCCAGGAATCGTTGATATCTGCTACATGGCTCTTAATGCCACCAGTCACGCAAAGTATCTCAAAGATCATCGAAACCTTCAGCTCATTTAGGTTTTTGGTACCAATGGTGATTGTGTACCGCTGGTTAATAAGATCTAGCGAAACGACGTGTTCTTGCGCTTCAGAAGCGTGCCGTGGTGTCCAATAGTTATCGAGGCTCTCGACGGCCTCGGCGAGACTGGTCGTTTTTCTCTCCGGTTTCCGCTTGTTTTGGCCTTTCGACGTTTCTTTATGTCCATGCCGCAACGACAGCGTGAACGAAGCCTGCGTTACTCAGCGCGCGGGAACGCGGCGAAGATGGCGTCTCGGCCCCGGTGACGGTCGCGCCGCCAGCTGGCCGAGCGTCGTCCGGGCGTCCTGCGGCGTCCGGCTGCGGGCTGACCTCTGACGGCGCTGCTCCCCGTCGGCGCTGTCACCGGCTGTTATCTCGGCCGCGCCGGCTCCGCACGAGTCGGCGGACGTGACCTGCGTGCCACCCTGCGCCGGCCGGGCCTACCCGCCGGCGGCCCTCGCCGCGCCGCGCCCACGGCTGGTTTGGTCGGCTGGGACTACTGATATGTTGGCGAAGTTCGCCGTCTGCCGTGACGTTGGGTGGGCACGGCCAAGTGTAACTCATGGACAGACTGGTTGCCAGGGTTTTGGTCAGACGTGGCGAAATTGTTTATTCCAAAGGTGCTGTAAAAGAATGGCTAGGTATTGTTTTCAAGTATGGTTTCTTGCGACGTAGAATTACTGCGAGCCTCAAGCGTTTTATTACGTTAAGAGAGGTGTTTCAGGCCGCTCTGTATTGGTACTATTCATGCTTGGAGTACGGGTATGAAGCAAATGCTAAGTGTGCTTGCTCTTGATGCTTTGAACCCAACGCCAACGTCTTCCGGCGGAGCGTAATGCAGTGGAAAAATCAACTCCACGGAAGTTCGATACGTTTGACAGAGGTGCCTGCATTTGATCTTGTGAGACAGGATTGCGGGAATATTTTGCGTACTATGTGCAATGCATTATAGGGCCGCCCGAGCGAGCTGGACCCTCTGGCCATTGTCAGCCAACCGCTACGCACACACATGGTGGGGCCAAACAGATAGTTTTTTTCTGGGAATGGAACCCAGATCGAATTGACGAGAAGTTGTCCATCCTGTCCTTTTAGCGAAAGTGACACGTAAAACCCACCACAGACGACAGAGTAAAAGTATGAACGCAGTAAAATTGAAGACATAGAACATAAAGATAAAACTTGGGATGACCTTGGCAAATAAACAAACATTGTCGTATTTTCAAGCGTTTCTTTCCGGCATCACATACCTGCTGTAGTTGGATGATCGTTTCGCCAGCTAAGTCTGCCGCTGATTATGCCAATAACATATTTGCAAAACGCGTTGGATGCGTGGTCTATTTGCCCCCACTTCAACATACGTTCCTTACACTAATTTTTGCTAGTTGCTGAATGCTATTTGTAGTTGACGACCACCAATTATTGGACCATCAGCAGTCTCTATTATCAGAAGGCGAACTGGGAATCCAATACCGTTTTATGTCGCATGATGTAAGCCTGTGTGACGAGATTTGCCTATATGTTCCTTCCGCAGTGTTATGAAATATGGCGTAGCTCATTGTATGCGTGCATTTCATCTTTTTCGTTGTTATATTGTGTTTTTTCCTGTTATTGACTTCGTATTTAGAATAATAAGTGTATATTGTTCTTCCCGGTCCGCGTCCATGCACGGCGTGTTTCAAAGTTGGGGTGGCTGGCTGTTGTTTCGTAAACGGGTTATGGTAATTGAAAAGTAATTGTGAATGCCCATCCTTTGGTAAAAATGGTCAGAAAGTGTCCAAGTGATCACATTATGTATTCGGCCAGATTCCACGAATTTTATTATGAGCACCGGGGCGTGAATCGAATGTTTTCATAAACTGAGTACTGATGTCGTTCTATAGACTTGAAGGTTCTTCGCGATCGTCCCGCTACGTAGATGTAAACTACGTATGCAACCCAGTTCACCAGCCCCTCGGCGAGATCAGGAACGGGCTGGTGTTTGGGCACGTAAAGGTCACAAAACCGGCACATGAGTCACCCCAAGTGAGGAATGGCCTCGGCTCGGCCAATGAAGAATGGGCCTCATGTGGGTGACATGAAATACAGAATTGCGGGGCTCGGCCGGCTCTTGCGAGCGGCTCGGCCCGCCTGCCACCGGCCAGTTCTTTACAGGATGAGTCCGCCGGGGCTGTGAGGGTCCGGAACGCCACGAGTCGTTGGGGTTATGAACTCCGCAGCTGCCATTCGTAGCACTACTAAACATGGAGGGAGTAAGTGGAAAGTGACATCAGATGGAAATTGTGCGCATCCGCCTCGGCGCATGAAGTCGCAGCTGCTCGTCGGCCCAGCCTGGTGGTGGCTGATGTGGCGCCCGGTCGGCGAGCGCGCCGTCCCCCGGTGAGCGGCACACCCGTGGACCCGCGCCGCCCTCCCGCCGCCTGCCGCCGGCCGTACTGACGCTGTGTGTCCTTGTTTCCGCCGGTCTCGGCCCAGATTTACGTGCGGGCACAGTTCGACTACGACCCTATGCAAGACGAGCTGATTCCGTGCGCCCAGGCGGGCGTGCCATTCCGGACCGGCGATATCCTGCAGGTAACGCGCGTCGGCCGCCAGACCGGCACAGTCGGCTCGGTGGAGGGAGGGGTGTGCTCGGACGGCCGCCGAGGTAATCAGCTGCGAGCTACTCACGGCCTCCGGGCCAGCCGGCGGCGGGCAACTCGCTCGCAGTCGGTGTATCATTCGACTGTGGGTAGTTTGTTCGCGGCAGCTGCGGCAGTCGACTGCTCGTCCCCGGCAATTTGGCCGATCAGCGGCACGTTGCTCAGGTTTTCTAGTCGCTTAACTGCGGTCGTCTCGCTCTCGGTTGTACAGCCAGTCAGCTGCATACAGTTCGCCCGTGCCTGCGTTCGTTAAACCGGCCTGTGTGTTCAATACCTGCAGGCTGCTCGTGGTTGCAGCAGCAAGCCATCGGCGGCATGACGGTCCGTTTGACCGTCCGCGACATGACGGTCGGTGTGACAGCCGTCGGCCGGTGCCACCGCTCCGTCGGACCCGCCTCTCCTCTGCCGACAGATCATCAGCAAGGACGACCACCAGTGGTGGCAGGCCCGTCGGGAGGGCTCCGCCTCGCCGGCCGGCCTGGTGCCCTCGCCGGAGCTGCAGGAGTACCGCTCCGCCTGCTCGGCCATGGACAAGTCCAAGCGCGAACAAGGTGCGGGCGGCGGGGTACCGCGCGTCAGCTGATGTGTGGAGCTAACACACGCACGGCCCGGGGCAACTTCTGTCAAGCTGTGATTCACTAACTGCAGTCAGCAGTTGGTAGAGTTAGGACGTGGCGGCGTGATGTTGGATCACTCTTTTCAAAGCAGGCGCAGTCGGCACCCTGGGACGTCGTCCCCCCAGTGCGGCGGCGACGCCAGTCAGTTCGCGACTTGGGCTCGGAGCCGGGAACCGGTCACGCCGCCTGCCGGCTCCGGGAAATATGACCCGGGCTCCGCGCGGGCCACAGTGCTCGTTGGGACTGACCTGTGCCCGGCCGCGTCAGATTGCCTGCAAACTTTTCAGCGTCAGAAACAGTGGCTTAGGTCGTTTGGCTGTGATGAGGCCTGAGGGCAGGAAGGCAGTTGCAATGATGGTGCAGTTTATTTGCAGTGATGGCTCGCGGTATGTGCGTTCTCATGAGATTTTCATCTTCTACCCTGAGCGTTAGCCTGAGAACTTGAATGGCGAGCATGTTCGCTTGGCACCGTATGTGCTCGTCACTTATGAGTGTAGTTTATCTGAAATGTACGTTTCTCCCGTCCCAAGTGAACTTGTCTTATGTTTGGTCCGGAATCCATCGGAGAGCACTGAAATATTCAATTTTACAGACAAAGACACAAAGTCAATTACTGCATTGCCTTTCGTACTGCGTTATGGTTCGGGGATGCTTGTGTTTTTATTAGAGCCATAGTTGTCCTCATCTGCCTCTTAAGTGACACCCTGTTTTGGACGTCTGTTTGAAGTCACAAAATCACACCATCTCCTGTTTCAGTCAATTGCTCAATATTTGGGAAGAAGAAGAAGCAATTCAAAGACAAGTACCTGGCAAAGCACAACGCAATCTTTGATCAGCTGGATCTAGTGACGTATGAGGAGGTGGTGCGGCTGAGCTGTGAGTATCGGGACGCTGACGCCGAACAACTCCGACCTCAGGTCCTCATGTGACGCTGGCTCCAAAGGACGCTCCGACCTCAGGCTCTCATGTGACGCTAGCTCCGAACGACGCTGTGACCCCAGGCCCCCATGTGGCGCTGGATCCGAACGACGCTCCGACCTCAGGTCCTCATGTGACGCTGGATCCGAACGACGCTCCGACCTCAGGTCCTCATGTGAAGCTGGCTCCGAACGACGCTCCGACCTCAGGTCCTCATGTGACGCTGGCTCCAAAGGACGCTCCGACCTCAGGTCCTCATGTGACGCTGGATCCGAACGACGCTCCGAGTGACCAGGCCCGTTCGCCACCCGTATACTATGGTGGTTTGTTTTGTTGTTTAAGTAAGACTGTTTATTCTTATTATGATAATCAAAGAAAATTTGGTTATGTTGACATTACTCAAAGAGTATTGATGAGATATATTACCAATGATGATTAGTAATGTTACCATTGTTTGCTTGATAACGTCGTTAAACTAGTACCTCCTGGCATATTGAAGGACCTGTCAGCACAATACCTCGGGGCTTATATTGCCGAAAAATCAGCAACGCAGTGTTTTTTTTTTGCTCACATCAAGTACGACTTTTGTGAATACTTCGTACGTTAGACATCTTTATTTCAAGAGGTAGCATCATGCTGAATGGCACGAACTCGATATGGCGTGGAAGACAATGTTTGCAACTTCACGCTTGTCTTTCTAGCCCTTATATGAAAATGAACGCATTTCTCACTTGAACAGGATGTAACTGTGTACGTTGTCTCAGAGTCATACAGTGTTATTTTCCGAATGTATGTTTGGGTATTTTACGAGCTGGAATGGTTGTCTTGCACCACAGTAGGGCATGCTATTTTCAATCATGTTTTGGTAACGCATCTTGAGAGATTTGAGCACGCGCAAGTCTGGTAGTGCGCAAGTCGGCTTACAAGTGAGGGTGGTTCTCAAATGATGATTTGGTGTTGGCATGTCGCCAGACACAACACACGTGCTTTCCGCATCATTTGATAGCCACATACAGCTTGCCCTAGCTGGTTTACACGCATTTGCACCCCTCAGCCGGTATCAAAACCGGAGCTTGACTCCCGCCGGATTTCCGAGTATGACCGTTTCGTCGATCTTGGATGGGCGGCGCTCCGTTGCCCATTCCACACCCGACGTGCGAGAGCAAACGCTACTGTATGGTTCATCTGGCAGGTGGGGCGGGGGGGGGGGCAAACGAGGTCAAGCCAGCTTTTTCCGTCTTCATGCTTCACATGTGCTCAGAGTGAAGCTAATATAGGTCAAAACAGATCATGGTATGCTTCCGGGGGGCCATGTGAGCCTCCCTGAGGTCACTTTGTTGCCTGATATGGTGACCTTGGATGGCCTTGGCATTTACGACTTTTGGAAACGGAAATGATGCCAGAACTCTCTGAAAGGTCTGCCAGCAATATATTGGACGATTTTGAGGGATGGGCGTTGCGTGACCTTTCCTTTGAATGGCCTTTACGTCACCATTGACGCATGCTGGCCTCTTCAGCTCGCGGCATAATGGGCTGTATGGTCGATTTGATAGATTTTCTGAGACTGGACATGATGTGACGCTGACTCAGAATGACCATAATAACAGTCACAAGCCAGCGGTATTGATAACGTGACGAGCGTTGAGAATGTGGTTGTGCTACTAGCCTGAGAACGCATAAGGTTGAAACCTATGTGTCGGGTGTTAAGAGGTAAGTAGGGTATTCTTAATCCACTCCACCTTTCACTCCAATGCAGTGAGCTGAGCGCCGCGAGAAATATATTCGGAAAAACGGACATGTGTGTCGTAGTCGCTCTTCCCGGCTCTGGCGAGGATTAGAATCTTAGGTGCATCAAGCAGAATCACACTAAGGTGTCTGGTCCTCCTCAAGTCGTGTCGCGAACGTGAAACTAATCATCAAACTTTGCACCTGACTTAATGCACAAACTGTCTGTTTTAAGGCCTGATGTCTTCGCTTTGATAAAATTTTGGTGGCGAGCGCTATGTATTAATCAAGGACAGCATCCCTCTTGTTAGAAGATGTTTATTTCCCAGTATTTTCGTTTGAAACTGCCCAAAGCACTATTTCATGCATCTGAATTCGACGACCACGGACCAACCACCTACCCGGTCGCACAATAGTAAATGATGAATAGTGAGTAAGTAGTAGTGGGCCATTACCACTCAACATTCAACATTCATTCAACATTCAACATTCGCCGGTATATGAGAGGGGCGGGGGGATTTGTGGTGTCAGCATTGTGGCGGGTTTGGATGTAGAGCGTGAAGGTTTTGAACCACATGAGATACAGCCATTCTGGGACCCAGATGGTCCAACTCATTCTGTCGAATGAGTCAAATCCCCTATGTATGGGGTGTGTGGCGAGTGCATCCTTGTTTCGCAACACGGATGTTGTCATGCCCCTAGCCGACTTATCTGCTCATGCATGGGACTCCGCTGTCCTGGATCCGCCTGTTCTCCGGTTTTGCTGGCCTTGAGCCGGAAGTCGTTTCCGTGGGTGTGTCCGTGTTCCCACGCGGCCGCTCCGCCGCAGCGTTCCGGCGGAAAACGCTCGTGCTGCTGGGGGCGCACGGCGTGGGCAGGCGGCACATCAAGAACACCCTCATCTCGTCGCACCCAGACATGTATGCCTACCCGATTCCACGTGAGTGCTCTGGCCGGCGGCGGCAGCGGTGCATCTGAACTGAGCACAAGCGCGGCTGCTTTGATGTCGTGGGACGTCTAGACAGAGTTAGCGTCGCGTCTTCTGGGACTGTCTCCAGATGTGCCGTCGTCTGACGCGTGCTGCAGCGTTTGGTTTACTACCTAAAACTGGAGTTATCTTGTGTCGGTTCCGATCGTTTGATTCTGCGTACAGGAGTCGCGTCATCGAATGTGTCATGTCAAGCATGGTTTATGAGTTCGATGTTCGTGACCCATCTGTGGGATAGGGGCAACACATGTCCACACTTCCTCCAGCATAGCTTCTTGCCATTGCCTTTACTAGGGTCCCGCTCTCAAGTGAGCCTCTGAGCCGTACCCTGGTGAGAGCAATATAGGATTACGCCGGCGCGAACTGTCTCGACGCTCGCGGCAAAGCTGACCGGGCGTTTGTGAAATAGTATAAAACGTGTGGAGCCCAGAAGTGACTGAGTTGGTGCGGGGTTTATGGTGATTGTCCCCGTTTTATGTGTGACGTTCTCTCCGCTGTAGCTCGTCTCTGTGGGCGTGTTCGTGGGATGTGAGCATGCCTTTCCTTGCGGTCAGCCTCTGCTGACCTCTGTGTGCGGGTTGGCAGATACGACGCGAGCGCCGCGCAAGGACGAGGAGAACGGCAAACACTACTTTTTCGTGTCTCACGACGAGATGATGGCTGACATTGCTGCCAACGAGTACCTGGAGTATGGTGAGTCGGTGCTTGCCGCCAGACCCTCGGGAGCATCAGGACCAGTTCTGAGGGCCCGGCATGGATGCTTGGGTTGCATGACGAACGTGCCCATAGACGCGATGTGGTGGTGAACTTGTGTCTGGGTAATTCAACGGACGGATTCGAACTCCACGGACTGACTTGCTTGACCTGTATGGCTCATGTTCCATTGGTCTGTTCCGGTTGTTTCCTTTCCACCGCCTGTGAGTCGGTGACCAAAAAATGCTCCCTCGGTTATCCACCGCGACGCAGAGCACTACACATTACACCTAACACATAGGCGATGAATTAGATACGTGTTTTGGCTGCGATGGGTTCCCTGTCGAAAGAGGTAGCCGGAATCGGTTGTGGTGCTCGCACCCGTGTGCTTTAACCCAATGGCGTTCGGGGACGCAGTCCTGGACGCACCAGAGGCGAATGTGGACACGCGGAGCAAACGTCAATGATTCAGCAGGTCACGCGTGCTCTAACATGGCGCAAAGCGCTTACTCGCTACCCCCTCGTGTGAGGACACTACATCCGGCAGCCGGCGCCTCGCTGCTCCAGGCCGCCACCTGCGTCACCGCTGCCTTCGCGCGCCCGGCCGGCGCGGTGCGTAGCGCGTCGGACTCTGACTGCAGCTCCTCGTCCGGCGCCGCTACAGGTACGCACGAGGACGCCATGTACGGCACGAAGCTGGAGACGATCCGACGCATCCACATGGAGGGCAAGATGGCCATCCTGGACGTGGAGCCGCAGGCGCTGAAGGTGCTGCGGACGGCCGAGTACGCGCCCTACGTGGTCTTCATCGCCGCGCCCAGCCTGCAGATCATGACCGACGTGAGTTACGGCAGGGGCGGGGGGGGGGGTTGATGACCGATGATGATTGTGATGAAGGGCGGCGTGCGTGGGTGATCCCGGAGGGTGCAGTCGTGGCTGATGAGATGCTGAGGGATGCATCGCCAGACGCGGCCGTGGCTCGCACCTGGGATCCCGCCTGCCGATGGTCGTGACCGCGTGCCGTCAGTCCCGCACTGTGGCCCGTCACGAAGAGCCCGGCTGATACGGGTCATGCTGGGTTGGAGTCAAAGCTCAGCTCGACTGACACCTGCGCTGGGGATGCCGGCTGACGGTGCTCGCTGTTCGGACCGAACACCTGACACGTCAGGCACGGGAGGCCGTCTGTGAGCTGGCGTGAACTCCCCACCACGCGAGCTGCGCCCATACTCGCTATGGGCTGTAAGGGTGCAGCTCGCGTGAAGCTACGGACGCGCTTGCTCAAATCCCTCTGTTTTTTTCAGCTGAAATGGAGAGTTCGGCATTGTCGTATGTTGACATGATGCGGGCACAGAGACTTGGCTTCTAAAAGTGAACGCCACTTTGACGTTTCAGTGGGTGGACTTGGTTTAGATGTCTGTTCCTTCCACTAAGCAAGATGAGTTTGAGGATAAAAGTTGCAATTTTCCGGTTTCAAAAATATGTTGTTTTAAGCGATAGCCCTGAGCCATGTAGCGCTGATGCATGTTTACGTAACTTGCCGTCTATGTCGTGAGACACAAACTTGCGACGCTCGCTGTCGTGTGTTGCCCATGTGTTTGACCATGTTGATAGCTGTGCGACGGCGCTGACCGGTGGCTGGCCGCCTTGCTGACAGTTTGACGGCAGTCTGGAGCGACTGACCAAGGAGTCTGACCTGCTGAAGAACGCCTATGGACACTTCTTCGACCTGACCATTGTTAACAACGACATCGAAGAGACGATACAGATCCTGGAGGACGACATCAACACGCTGGGGTCCAAGCCGCAGTGGGTACGTGCATTGGTGGCGGAAGGCGGCCAGCTTCTATGGGCGCCATCGCCTCTTCATCTCGGTTCGACGGTGATCTCGACTGGGCTGTCTGCAATAGTCACTAATGGTGCCGTCATTTTCTTATAAAATGATGGTATCATACTCGTATAAAATCAGTTTGGACACCAGAGCGTAACAAACTAGCGCCGCTCGCAGCCCTTCTACCAGACGTAACGATTCCTGCTCGGTGGTTGATTTAACGGAACATAGACTAAAGCGGCAATGTTAAGCGTCGCAGTTGTCGCCTGAAGTGGTCATGATGGGGAGCAGTGTGTGCCAGAGACAGCTTACATCTGCCTGCTGACAAAACAGTCGTGATTGTCGGCGTATCGCGCTAGGACTCTGCGGCCAAGGGCTTTAATCTGATGTTTGTGTGGGGTCATTTGCTGTAACTCCAACAAGTCCACATAATTAAGCAAAGCTCGTCCCTAAATCTAAGCTTCCTGAATTATCATCTTGGTGCTGCCAAGAAACCGGATGTGGTTCTGAATATATTGCTTCTAAACGGAAGCCGTGAAAGAGGCGTAACTCAGCATTCCAGCCCCGTCGTCGAGCATTGGGTTGGCTTACAACATGCGTTCAGTGCGAGGCGTGTTGGGCGTGGCGTCGTGTCATAATAAGTGTGAGGCTGCTGCTCTCCTGTTTTGGGAGTGGTGTGTCATAATAGGTGTGAGGCTGCTGTTCTCCTGTTTTGGGAGTGGTGTCGTGTCATAATAGGTGCGAGGCTGCTGTTCTCCTGTTTTGGGCGTGGCGTTGTGTCATAATAAGTGCGAGGCTGCTGTTCTCCTGTTTTGGGAGTGGCGTCGTGTCATAATAGGTGTGAGGCTGTTGTTCTCCTGTTTTGGGAGTGGCGTCGTGTCATAACAGGTGTGAGGCTGCTGTTCTCCCCTGTTTTGTTGGCGTGGCGTCGTGTCATAACGGTGTGAGTGGCTGCTGTTCTCCTGTTTTGGGCGTGGCGCCGTGTCATAATAAGTGCGAGGCTGCTGTTCTCCTGTTTTGGGAGTGGCGTCGTGTCATAACAGGTGTGAGGCTGCTGTTCTCCTGCTTTGGGCGTGGCGTCGTGTCATAATAGGTGTGAGGCTGCTGTTCTCCTGTTGTGGGAGTGGCGTCGTGTCATAACAGGTGTGAGGCTGCTGTTCTCCTGTTTTGGACGTGGCGTCGTGTCATAATAGGTGCGAGGTTGCTGTTCTCCTGTTTTGGGAGTGGCGTCGTGTCATAATAAGTGCGAGGCTGCTGTTCTCCTGTTTTGGGAGTGGCGTCGTGTCATAATAGGTGTGAGGCTGCTGTTCTCCTGTTGTGGGAGTGGCGTCGTGTCATAACAGGTGTGAGGCTGCTGTTCTCCTGTTTTGGGCGTGGCGTCGTGTCATAATAAGTGCGAGGTTGCTGTTCTCCTGTTTGGGGGGTGGCGTCGTGTCGTAATAAGTGCGAGGCTGCTGTTCTCCTGTTTTGGGAGTGGCGTCGTGTCATGATAAGTGTGAGGCTGCTGTTTGCCTGATTTCTTGTCCGTGGCGTGTCGTGTCGGGGACTTATGATGTAACGTGTGGGACGTTACATTGACCGACTTGCTGACGCTTTTCGAGTTCCATTATGTCCGCGTGATGGGTGCGCTGAGAGCAAATTACTGCCGTCGTAGCATGTGGAGTGCGTCTACCGGTAGGGGTCTACTGTCGCCTGCCATGCCGCACGTTTTGCCGGCGCTGCCGTTGTTGCTTATGGCCGTGTCGTAGTGTCACCGACGGCGGTGCGCTTAGGCATCTATGGCGTGTTTCAGGTGCCCGTGTCGTGGGTTTACTGACAATCACCGACGCTGGAGCTGGCCCGGCCCGGGCCCGGCCAGAAGAGCGGCTCGCTGCGCCACCTGCTGCCCGGCGTATGTCCCGACTGCTGCTGACCCTCTCTCTCTCGCGCGCGCGCGCTCTGCCTGCCTGTCGCCTCTCTCCCTCTGCCTGTGGTCTGCGCCGCTGCGCCTGGTGCGTCCCTGTCTGCCCGCAAGCTCTCTCTCTCGCTCTCTCGCCGTGTGGCTGGCTGGGGGCGGTCGGGTGGGCCGGCCCCCGCCGCCGTGCCGGCCGCCCCGCTGGCGCCGCTCCGCTCACCTTAGCTGTTCGGCTTGTCCTGCGCCAGGCCCGGCCTGCCGCCGCCCGCCGGCTCTGTGCATCGCTTTACAACCGTGCCATGTGTACCTGTGTTTCGACGCTTGAGATCTGAAGACATGTTTCATTGGTTGTCATTATGGTCTACTTTTGCTTGATGCTGGGTGCCTTTTTCGTGCACCGTGTAAGTTAAACTGAACGTAAATATTGTTTGACGGCGTTGGCTGTTGCTGTGTACCTTTGTCACAAATGCTTTGCTGTGTGCAGCTTATGAAGCGGAGAGAACCGTCTGCCTTATAGTTTGTCATGGGTTTCCAGAGCAAAAGTGCACGAAAGCTTCAGCATCAGAATTCAAAAACGAAAATGTAATGTGAGTGCAGCCAGCATATCTGAGGAGAAATCCCATGAGACTCAACTCCAGTGCCAATGCTAAAGCGAGTGCTATTCCGTGAATAAGACTGCTCCTCGCGAGGGCTGCGACGCACGCCGGGGCGTGTGCAGGGTTGTGTTGATGTCGGTGTCATACGAGGCGGGCCTGAGCTGGAGAACATGTGATATCGTTAGGACTGCGTGCATGTGACGCGCCCCGTCTTCGACCGACGTAGGTGTGTCACTTTGATGTGTGCTAGACAACAATAGCGCATCGCATTAAATGGCGTCTTTGAGTAGAAATGCTAGAATTTTTAAATTCTTTTTGTCTTAAGCTGTCTGCAAGTAACCTCACGGGGTGATTCGTTGTCTTTTTGGACTGGGCCGCGGTGGCCGGCCGGGCCGGCGCGTTCCTGCTTGTAGCGGCTAGCTGGCCGCGCCCCGCGAGTCGTTGCCCGCGTCTGGCATCGAGGCAGACGGATTCCACAATTCGGTATGCGTGTGTGCGAGCCGCTCGGGGACTCATTCCGGTGTCGGGCGGCAGCTGCACGATCGCTCGCCCCGGAACGGTGCGCGTGCGCGAGCGAACGGCTGGGACAGCCGCCGGGCGCGGAGCTCCGGGCAGATCGGACCCTTGGCTCAGCGAAGCTCATGTTACTGTTTTTACCTCCCGACTTTGGTAACTGATTTGTATTGAGGCTCGTATCTTTCTGGTACCTTAGGAGATTTAAGCTTCTTTTGTAGGTTGTGAACATCTTTGTGTGTCAAGTTAGAGAACCTTGTACAAACGGCTTCCGTAGGCTCGGCGAATGGCACCGGGGCATTTGGAGACTTCTGTTTCAAGTAGCGACCAATAATAAACAGTTTTATCGTGACAGGGGCGCTATGGTTTGTGTTGAGCCTGGTTGTGATTTCATTAGTAGGTAGCGGCGTGGCTGCCGACCACTACCGAGTGGAGAGTTGCACTCTAGTCCGCAATATCGTGCCGAATGGGCTGCGCGTGTGTGTGCCGGTACGCAGCATCAGTTTTATCAGGCCAATACCCCGAGGCTGTTAACCGTGACCGTGTGTGTGTGAACCAGTTCCCCTTTCCACTTGTGTCTCAGGTTCAGCTTGTCCCTGTCTCCAGGCCGTCTGCATCCCACGTCGGCTTCCCCGAGCAAAACAATACAATCACCAACACTTCCTACACGTCCTCTGGGTTACCCTGGTCCCCCGTTCCTCAGCACCCGACTGGCGCGCTTTCGGTGCGCTGTTGATGGCGTGCGCCGGTTGCGCGTGGCCACCTCGTGTCCGGCTGCCGGCGGACCGGCGCGCCGTCTGTATCAGAAGGGCCTGCCGCCGCCGGCAGCCGACCGTGCTGCCGCCCGACCCTAACCCCAGCCGCCCTCGCTGCACCGGACCTGGCCTGGCTGCGCCGCTCCGGGTCATGACCCGTGACCTCACCACTTCCATCCCAAACACAATGCATTCAGCCCGGGCCGCATTGCTCCCCCCGCCCCCCCCCCCCCATCCCCACGCACACACAACCCCCGTTCGACTGCAGGTTTCTCAGTCCCAGCTTTCCAGCCCCACCTCCACTACCTCCCCCCCCCCCCACGCTTGAACGACTGTGTCTGCGAACGAGACGAAACTGCCCCCACTTCCGACTGCATTGTTTTTGGAGCCCTCCCCTGATCGCAAGTGTTTCCATCCATGACTGTCCTGTCCCATCCCCGATAGCGCTGTCCCCATCCTGACCTGACCTGACATGACCTCAAGCCGCTGCCATACCTGACTGCCCTGCTGGTCCGCACCCCCGTTCGCATTGTTGCCATCCCTGACCTTAGCGTTTTAACACACAACCCCAGTGCTTCTCGCCCCGGTGCTCGCGGGGCTACCCTTGGACGGCATGGCACAAAGCGTCGTTTTTCTCGCGATCGAACTTTGATAGGTCGATTGTCGGCGTTTGGCCGAGTTATTTGCTGGGCTGCATGAACACGTCTCTGTGTGGCAGATGCGGAATACATGGTTAGTTGGAAGCCGGAGTTTGTGGCATGGCGCGCGCACGGGCGGCTTGGCCGCAGCAGCCGGCGGGCCCTCCGTGGCGTGCCGGTGGGTCTCCGTACCCCTGTGCACCACAGGCCTGGCGTATCCCCGACACGCCACTAGTATTATCGGCACCGAAATGCCAGACCAAACCGTGCTGTTGACCGAGCTGCGCCGCCCGTCTGCCGCCGCGTGGTCAGTGTACACAACAAATACAGATTTGCTGGTATGTAGCGCAAGTGCTGCTGTTATCGTTGTGCAAGTATTGCTCAAGCATGTCCGTCAGATTCGTCTGCGGCGCTCCTGGGCGCGTCGGTGCGGTGCCGCCCCGCTCCTGAGAGAAGGTGGCCGAGGCGTCCGCCGCGGTCTGGGCGGAATGGAGCCGCTGCCGTGTTCGGAAATTTCGCCAGGGTCATTCGGTTCACGGTCAGTAAGTTCCACGTCGACCGCCGATTTGTTCTGGCCCTTGTAAAAACCAGCCTGTGTATTCGGGGTCTATACAACTGGGTTGGAGAAAACCACAGAAACAGCCTTGAAGCAGAGCCTCGGCGCCCTAACAGCTTACACGAGCCTTCCGTCAGACGTGGGAGGCGCTGCGTCAGAAGAAAGCTGCCGCTCCGCTGGCTCGTCCACGCATACAAACTCATCTCCGAAGGTGTCCGCGTGCCCGTTGTGTGAAAATGCTGATTCGCAGCAAACACGAAACTAGCAGAGCGGGCTGCCAGCGATGTGAGGCGTGCATGCAGCAACGTCACACGAACGAGGGCGGACGTGGTCACGACGGCGCCACCAGCGTTCGTACCACTGGTAACCAGCGCTGGCCGCCAGGGGCATCTTCCTGTACGTGTGCTCCTGCGCGATATCAACACTGGTGTCCACACACATGAATGCGCTTTGGGTGCTGGGTGCTGTAGGTTCTGGGGCTGAGCTGGTTGGTGCTTAGATAGCATCTGCGAGCTAGGCAAACCACTAAGGTCGGGTTAGTCAGGCTCTTACGGTGGTGTCGTTAGCGCTTGGGAGCGACGCAACTGATATGTCCCTGTGTCACTGAGGTGCTTGATACACTCCAATCGAAATTAAAACACGCTCCAGAATTTGGTCATGGTACATTTGCTCACAGCTGAAGGCGAACGCTCAAATTCGTGAGTGGCGTGGTAAACGCCCGCAACCTTTTTGAACATTGCAATAATCTGAGACGTGTCGAATTATAAAGCGGTTGTCAAGCATAATTTCAGCAAAAACGGGCATCTTGACAAAGCTTGACTTTACGCCATCATGTCTGCATTTGATCCATGAAAAGTTGTGTAAGCAACTATGGGCTACGGTGTTGCCTCTCTTGTAAGATAACCGCAGATCTAAGGACATATTTGGCATGCTCTCCCTTCATTCACATCACATCGCAAGCCTATCAGACGCCCTGGTCGGCGGAAGGTAAGCAGAGCAAGTCTGCCGGGCGAGAGCGAATACACGCTTGCTTGGAGACTCGAGTGTCGAGACGGGATGCTGCACTGGGGAGCAGTGTCAGGTGAACTGCACCGCCCTGGGCCGTGCCCACACCAGGTGTCTCGGTGGCTTATTGCTGGAGGCTGTACATGACGTCAGTCGACGGTCTGTCAAGTGCTGCCGGAGATTGTACTGGATGTGCCTCGACGGCGTGTCTCCGGACTGCGGAGGCTTGGCTGGATGCTAGTCGATGACGCACTGCCAAAGACTTTACCGGACGTTCGACGACGCTGCACTCCCGGAAGCTCCACCGCACATCAGGTGGTGGCGCATTGTCGGAGGCTGTACAGCATGTTCGTCCGCTGAGGTTATCCTGGACATCAGTCTATTACATATTGCTGGAGGCCGAACTCCTCAATGGCGGCTAGGCCGTCGGGGTCGGTGACGCCGCTGAACTGGACCCAGCCCCCGGTGACTAGCTGCAGCAGTAGACCGCCCATGGCCTCCATCAGCGGGCTCAGCGTCACCGAGTGCATCATGCGGTGTAGCAGGGCGGAGAGCGGCGGCCGCTCGGCCGGCTCCACCAGCGGGCGCCAGCGCTCTGGCGGCGTCTCGTCCGCCGCCGGCTCGGCGCCGGCGGCCAGCTGCCCGGGGTCGGCGACCGCCTGCTGCCGGCGGTCGTCGTCGATGGTCCGCGCAGCGAAGCCGATGTCACGGCTCCGGCTCGGGGGTCGTCGCGGACGGCGCGGACCGGGTCTGTCGGCGTCGCGCGCGCCGGGGTGTATCCAGGGCTGGGGGCTGGGCGGTGCGCTAGTCAGGAGCGCTAGTCCCGCGATAGAGCCGGCCAGCCGGTCGGGTGGGCCCAGGCGCCGCCAGCCCGGCTCTGGGTGAGTCTCGGGTGCTTGCTGCCGCACCGCGGGCTGGCCGACGCCCGGCGCCGGCGGTCGGCCTCTGCTGAACCACGGGGCCGGCGGCGAAGGACTCCAGTCAGGCGCCGTGACCCGTGCCGCTCCGGTGGGTGGTGGCGGGAAGTACAGCAGTCCGGCGCGGCTCCGTCTCAGCGGCCGCTCCGCGCCGTTTGGCCCGGCGCGCCCGCGTCCGTGCGCCCACCTCGCGCGGTCCGGGCGCCCGGCCTGGCCAGAGTCCGAGAACCACGGCGCCGCGCTCGTCCCCTCTCCGGGCCAGCCGGCCGCCGGTCCGTAGCCGGCGTCTGCAGTCAGCTCCGGCGGCAGCGAGCTGGCGCTGTTCGCTGGCAGCCAGCTCTCGACGTTCTCTGGGACGTGCTCAGCGTGGCTGGCGTATCCGGATAGTCCGAATAGCTGCGACAGTGGTTGAAATAGGCCAAGGCGCTGCTGGAAATGGTGTTGCTGCAACAAAATTGGCTCTTAAGCAAATTGGCAGGCAATGTTCACGGCAACCCCATGTGCATGGTTTACAACGTCACGATGTGTACCGGCAGACTAAGGTCGACCGGCCGTTTATGAACAGACGGGATGACTCAGTTGACAAGCTTCCCCGCACGTGAAGACGGCGGTCGGCCTGTATCATGTTCGCGTCCTCCGCCCTTGTTCGTCAAGCTGCCAGCGGCAGTGGCAGCAGTCACATAGCTGACAGGCCGGCGGCCACTTAGGTTGGGAGTCGAGCTGTTTTTGTGTGTCGGCGCACCGGTGTTTAGCCCGTCCGTGCGCGCATCGGACTTCACGCAAACGACAGAAAACCGAGCCGAAAAACACGGCAAGCTCGGAGCGCGTGCAACGACTGAGGAGTGAAAACAGGGGCAGTGGAGCGTGCATGGAAGTCACAGATAATCGGGGCTGCCTCTGAAGTTGGAGCCCTGTAATCTGGACCACCGTTACCACTCCAGAGCCACTGGTAAGGGACATTAGGCTGAGCTACATCTGCCACCTTCTGGAAGCATCCGCATGCGACAAGACCTGCATGAACTCATGTGCTGGATCCCAAAACAGATGCCGGAATCTGGGACCCAGACCTGTCGGGGGGGATGTTGTGTGATCTAGGATTGGCCGGGAATATTCTGTCACGGGTGTGCACTCAACCGATAGTTCGGTGGAGGGCCTAATGAGGGCGGAAGTCTACATTATCTGTTTTCATCGTCACTATGCACAGCACAGCGTATCACGACTGCGTAGCCCAATTGATTCATTGGAAGTGGCGGGGCAGATGTTCCGAGTTAAAGTCTTGAATGAACGAGAGGCGCAACACTCCACCGGCGCACAACGTGCCGCAGCGGACGCTGAATCAGAATCGCAACGCTTATTTTGCCGTGAAGGATCTTAAACAGTTCAACCAATATGGAATTCTAGCACTGATGATGATTGTTCGATAATAAAATCACGGTATTCAGATCATTAGACATGCCCTGTGCCGCTGATCAACAAAACGCTCGCCCTGTGTGGCCCATGAGACGCACTCTCCTAGCGAACCGCCCCGCGTGCTGCTCGCCTGGTATGAGCTGAAGATATCTTCACATATCCCCTGATCCGAACTACCCAGCTATTGGCGGAACTGGAGAATATCTACGAATTCCACGGAGCACTAGTAACTGCATCAATTCTACATTGGTCATCACTTTTGTTCCATTTCGCCGAGAAACTTCAGACGTCTCGCGAGGTACCTGGCTTGGCTTAGACTATCTTTGTAACCAATTATATATCGCACTTTTTATTTGACTGATAGTGCCGCGGGATTGTTCACCATCCCGTGATCACATTCCATGAAACACCGGAAGACTCCAGGGCGTTCCGAGAAACCGGGACAAATGCTCCCTGGTCCTAACTGAGGTACGACGTAACTGCAATTTTCATTTGGACAGCGTCGGAGTGAAATTCCTCCCTGAACATAGCTTACTGCGTGGTTATTGACCCTCGCCACCTAGGTTTCCCGAACTGTGGGATAATGTCTTCACAGCATGCTAGCCGGATAGCCAGTGACAGGGAGTTTTATGCAGGGTCAGGCGAGCCTATGACACCGTGGAAAAGATTTCTGTTTTGTGTCGGCGACATACACCTGAGGTGGGAATTAAAGTTAAGAGGTGATGTTCTCGAAATCACTGTGTCGCTAGCGAGACGGGATCAGCCTAGAAACCGCTGTACTGTCACGCAAACCTCTAGAAATCGCCGCAAGCCTGGCGATGACAATAATTAAAGTTAATGCATGTGACCCCACATTTTGGCCCACAGACTTATGTTAGTGTATGCATTCGTAAGAGCCAACAGTGAATTTTGTGTCTCAGTGTTTGTGTAAGGATCTCAGCTTTAAGCGACGTGTCAGTTATTTGCTGATTTCTGTACTGACAGAGCTTCTTTGCCCCGGACGCATTCGTCAGAGTATTTGTCTCTGGTTACCGCAACTAAGCGAAATAAGTCTTTCTTTGAAATCTGTGCACATGTGGAACGGACCCTGTATCTGCTGCGCGCAAGCGTTTCCGGAAAAAAATGGTCGTGCAGTGCGAAGAGTCCAGCGTCAATTAGGTGTTTCATGAAAGGTTTAGGAAAATGGCTCAAAACTGCAACCTCATCAATCTATCGGT